GCTTTAAGTATCCTGTTAGATTGAAAGGTGCAACAGTAAATAAGTACAGTCTATTTACCATTCATAATTGTGTTAATGTTACAGAGCTAAAATGAGATGTAGTAGTAGCTGACATATACTTTGAGACACAAATACTTTGAGACACATATACAGCGCATAAAATAAGTACTGAACAGGTCACCATTTTTTTCAGTAAATATATTANTTACAGAGAAAAATGGTGACGTGTTTAATACTTATTTTACCCGCTGTACTTTGAGACATATACTTTGAGCTAACGCATCTCACAAGTGCACAAAAACGTATTTTACAACACTGGACCAACGTGGATTAACTCCATTTCTCAACAATATATAGGTGAAAAGCAGCAAAGTCATATCTATTCCTTAAATAAAGACAATCCTTTATTTGTTTACATTTTCACAGTATTTTATGTTTATGTACTGTTTTGTTTTTATTATAGAACAGCCCAAGTAATTACATTTTAGAAAAGGAAAATGACATCCTGTGTTACCTGGTCACTGTAGCCCATGAGGGCCCGTCGGGTGTTCTTTGGCCCCACGAAGCGGCTGACAAGCATGGTCCACCCCAGTGAAAAGTGAAAGCTGATGTCCTCTTGAAAGTCACTACAAAGCTTGTCACAGGCCAGGTCATAAGTGAGACTGAAGGACTGACGAGGAACCATACTGTCAACCTGCTCTATGACAGAAGGGGGCAGCAGAGGCTTCAGACCATCTGCAGACAGACAGAAAATGTTACTTCTAAAATACAAACTTCAATCAAATACAGTCTCAAACAGCTACGGGTGGTTTTTAAATTCAATATTGATATATTGAGTATAAATTTGAAGAATATTTAACTACCCATATCTAATCCACTAGGAGTTTAGTTTTCTCAGGCACTTCCAATGCATCACAGCCCACTCCCACTTCCATCTAGAAAACTCCAGCAGACCCATACCCCAGGTCCTCCAACCAAAAATATTGGTAGAATAAATGTAATGTTCTTTGGGGATGTTGTTTGTTGTGTTTATGATGCTTGCTGCAAACCAGTTTCCCTTTGGGATATGAATAAAGCTGAACTGAATTGGTAGTTTCTCTGACCAAATTTAAAACAAGAGTTATTTGCTGTTTGATAATGTTTTTTGCATTAAATTATGTGCATATATTAGTTTGTTTTTAAACATTTCAAGAACCACTGAAGAATGGATTTAAACTCTCAGAAAGTAATTCTACATGTGCTGGGCATAAAACTAGAATATCAAATGTTGATTTATTTCTATAATTCCACTCAAATAGTGTAACTTGTACATTTATATTCATTCATTACACACAGACTGATATATTTCAAATGTTATTATTTTAATTTTAATGATTATAAGTGACAACTAATGAAAACCCCAAATTCAGTATCTTAGAAAATTAGAATATTGTGAAAAAGTTCAATTTTGAAGACGCCTGGTGCCACACTAACCTGCTAATAAACTCAAAACACCTGCAAAGGCCTTTAAATGGTCTCAGTCTAGTTCTGTAGACTACACAATCATGGACTGCTGACTTAGTTGTCCTAAAAACGACCATTAACACCTTGAACAAGGAGGGTAGGACACAATTACTAAATAGGCTGGCACATTAATAGAGAGGCGAAGGGTAGGAAAAGATGTGGTAGAAAAATTGTACAAGCAATAAGAATAACTGCACCCTGGAGAGGATTGTGAAACAAAAMTMATTTAAAACTGTGAAGCATCTCGCCTGGAYTAAAGACAAAAAGGACTGGACTGCTACTGAGTGCTCCAAAGTTATCTTCTCTGATGGAAGTAAATTTTGCATTTCCTTTGGAAATCAATGTCCCAGAGTCTGGAGGAAGAGAGAATCCACATTRCTTGAGGTCCAGTGTTAAGTTTTCACAGATGGTTTGGGGCCATGCCATCTAMTGGTGTTGGTCCACTGTGTTTTCTGAAGTCAAAGRTCAACCAGGGTTCCCACACCATGGCCAACATCAAATTCAAAGACCTTTCAAGGACTTTCCAGTACCAATTTCCTCAAATTAAAGAACCACACACAACAGCAATTACCTACTGCTATCGCAGAATGTTACCAATAAACAGGTTTAATATCATGTAAATTCAATGAAAAACTGAGCAACATTGAGTCAAAAACAATGACGTCAGTTTACCATAATCTTGAGTTATCATCGCAAAAGATGTCAGTTTTTTTTATTACATTTTAGAATTTTTTTTAAAGATGATAAAAATCAGTCATGTGAATAGAGAATTTCAATCCCCAAAAACATTCAAGGACTTTTAAGGACAAGTGTAATTTTTGACTGTTTTCAAAAACTTTCCAGGGCCTTGAAATCATTTTTCCCAAATTCACAAACTTTCAAGGATTTTAAGGACCCGTGGGAAACCTGGTCAACGCAGTCGTCTACCAGGAAGTTTTAGAGCACTTGATGCTTCCTGCTGCTGACAAACTTTATACAGACGCCGATTTCCTTTCCAAAGGACTCGGCTCCTGCACACAGTGCCAAATTTACCAGTACCTGGTTTAAGAACCATAATGTCCCTGTTCCTAACTGGCCAGCAACCTCTCCAGACCTTAATACCATAGAAAATCTGTGGAGTATTGWGAAGAGGAAGATGTGATATACCAGTCCCAACAATTCAGAAGAATTGAAAACCACTATTAGAGCAACCTGAGCTCACATAACACCTTAGCAGTGCCACAGGCATTTTTTGTATTGGCCTTAAGTAATATTCTAATTTTCTGAGAGACTGAATTTAGGATCTTCATTAGTTGGCAGTTATAATCATCAAAATTAAAAGAAATTACATTTAAAATATATCAGTCTGTGAGTAATAAATGAATATAATACCCAAGTTTCACTGTTTGAATGGAATTACAGGAAAAAAAAATCAACTTCTCCATGATATTCTAATTTTATGACCAGCAACTTTATTCAATTCAATTCAAAAATACTTTATTGTATCCCAGAGGGAAAATAGGTGTTGTTGTAACTAATCATATATGCATCTATAACCTATTATCTTTTGTAGTTAACCCCATCCATGGTGGTTGCCACAGCCAAGTGAAATAAGCAAACAAAAATGGCAAAAACTGTCAATTTGACAGATCTTAACCAAACAATAGTATGTCAATAGCTGAAAGTCAACCTCAACATGTACTCAGAGTGCTAACTGATCAAACAAGATCTGTTTTAAAACTTTTCCATTAACGATTTTGCCAATAACTATTACCAACACAATTTGTTGGCAAAATACAGTGGGGTGCGAAAGTTTGAGCAGTCTTGTTAATTTTCCTTATTTACCTTTATAAATCATTGATTGTTTGGATTTAAAAAAAATCTGTAAAATACAACATATAGGAAACAAACACAGTGATATTTGAGAAGTGAAATGAAGTTTATATGATTTACAGAAAGTGTGCAATAATTGTTTAAACAAAATTAGGCAGATGCATAAAYTTGGGCACCAAAAAACCCTTTATTTGATGGTTTCTGAGAATGGACAGYTCTCTTTAAGTGACACCACAGATTTTCAATAATATTCAGGTCTGGGGACTGAGATGGTCATTCCAGAACGTTGTACTTGTTCCTCTGCATGAAGGCCTTAGTAGATGTTGAGCAGTGTTTAGGGTGGTTGTCTTGTTGGAAGATCCAGCCCCGGCTTCAGCAGCTTCAGCTTTGTCACTGATTCCTGGACATTGGTCTCCAGAATCAGCTGATGTTGGTTGGAATCCATGCATCCATCAACTTGAACAAGATTCCCAG